TTGTAGTATAGTTTGAAATCTGGGGGCATGATACCTCCGGGTTTGTTCTTTCTTTTTTTTTTAAATGTTTTATTTATTTCTAGGACAGAGAGAGAGAGACAGCGTGAGCAGGGGAGGGTCAGAGAGAGAGGGAGTCACAGACTGAAACAGGCTCCAGGCTCTGAGCTGGCAGTCAGCACAGAGCCCGACGCGGGGCCTGAACCTATGAACCGTGAGATCATGACCCAAGCGAAAGTCGGACGCTTAACCGACTAAGCCACCCAGGCGCCCCAGGGTTTGTTCTTTCTTGAGATTGCTTTGGCTATTCAGGGCCTTTGGTGGTTCCTTACAAATTTTATGATTTTTTGTTCTAGTTCTTTGAAAATGCTGTTGGTATTTGGAGAGGGATTGCACTGAATCTACAGATTGCTTTGGGTAGTATGGACATTTTAATAACTTCAGTTCTTCCATGAGCATCATATATCTTTCCATTAATTTGTGTCATCATCAGTTGTTTTCATCAGCATCTTATAGTTCTCAGAGTACCGATCTTTTACCTACTAAATTAAATTTATTCCTAGGTCTTTTATTCTTTTTGATGCAATTGTAAGTGGGATTATTTTCTTAATTTATCTGATTGTTGGTTTTTAATGTATGGAAACACAGCGTATTTATGTTTATTAATTTTGTATCTTGCTGCTTCACTGAATATTATTGGTTCTAATGGTTTTTTGGTGGAGTTCCTAGTGTTTCTGTATATAGTATCATGTCATCTACAAATATTGACAGCTTTACTTCTTCCTTCCCAATTTACATGCCTCTTCTGTATTTTTTAAATATGCCATTGATTTCAGTAATCTTAGTTCATTTTATCCAGAGTAGTTTGCACTTCAGAAGGTTTTTTCTTCCTTAGAAGTTTTATTTGGATTTCTTTTTAATATGTACATTTCTTTCCTCATTGTATTTATATTTTCCTCAGTCTTCCTGAGAATATGGAACATATTTACAGTAGTTGTTTTAATGTCCTTTTCTGCTAATTCTGCTAATTTTTCTTCATGTTTAGATCTGTTTTTATTAACTGATTTTTCTCCTGCTTATGGGTTATATTTTTCTGTTTCTTTGAATGTGTAGTTGTTTTTAAAGTGGATTTTGGAAATTGTGATTTTAATGTTATGAGTGCTAAATGTTGTGTTATATTTTTATGTAATGTTAAACTTTGTTTTAGAGTGGGGTTGTGTTATGTGGATTCAGTTTTATCCTTTCCGGTTTGCATTTAAGAGTTGTCAGGGGAGGTCGAGAACAATCTTTCACATAGGCTAATGTGGCTCCATTACTAACGCAGTACTCATCTGTATACTTTGTCTGACAATCCATGTATGAGTAGATCTTTCTACTCTTGCTGGTGGTAAGCCCAATTATTTTATTTGTGGCCATGAGCTTTAGAATTTCTTTTCTTTCCAGTGATCTTTGTGCCCTTGAATATTTTCCTCTTCCATGTATGTAGCTCAATACTCAGTAAAAGGTGTATGAGGACCCTTCTATGGACCTCCAGAGCTCCCTCAAACTCCCTCTTCTACAGTACTCTGCCCCACAAATTTTAGGTGTCTTGACCTCTCCAAATGTTCAGCTTGGTACGACTTCTGGTTCTACTTAGGTTCCTCTTCCCTGACCCACAGGCTAGAAGACTTCATGCTAGAAGCTAGGATAATTGTAGGGCTCACCTTGTTGTTTTTTTTTCCTTCAAGGATCATAGTTCTGTATGCTTTTTGTCCAGTGTCTGGTAATTGTTGTTTCATATATTTCATCTACTGCTCTGTTATTTAAGGTAGGAGGGTAGATTATGTCTTTTTCTTCCGTCATACTGGAAGAGGAAGGCTCACGGAAACATTTTTGATAAAGGCACACCTCTAATATTCTTATGATGCTAATTTTCTGCAGTGAAGTCCACTAAATAGGAAGGCCCTCCACAGGAGCTGCCCTGAACCATGAATGAATGATATCATATTTTCAACTTTTTTTTATATAAAAAAAAGATAATTACAAATACTTAAGAAAAAGAAGATGGAAAAACTAAACATTTCAATCTCTCCTTTTACCACTACCATTGTTTTCATACTTCTATATCAGCCTGTATGTATGCATAGTTTTACATAGGTGTAATCATGTTATCCTTCTATTTTGTGTTTTTTAAAACTATATGTCATAAAATATCTTCCTTCTGTTGTAATTTTCTTAAGTCTTTCTCTCTTTTTTTTTTGGCATAGTGTGGGTTTAGTTTATTCTTTTCATGGAAATTATGGTTGTTTCCAGTTTTTACTATTACTTACCTCTCTTTTTAAAATGGCCGTGTAATATGTTATTTTTGTGAACCATAATTTACAACATAAATGATTACCTTAGCTTGAGGCTTTTAGGGCATTTTGAAATAATTTTGTGTTTAAATTTGGTAACCTAGAAAAGAATATAAAAGCCTATGGCATTTCCAAAGGAAATGCATTGATGAGGTCATCTGGTGCCTGTTCTCTAAGGAACAGAGCTGACAGAATGTTACAGAGAAATAATCCATGTACAGAGTTAAATACCCCTCTGAGATAAAGAGAGGAAAATACAGCTCAGTTCCATAAACGTTTTGGTCCCCACCGTCAGAGAATTTATGATCTAGTAGAGGATCTAGTGAAAAACAAACCTATCTCAGTAGTTCCACAACTGAGTTGGAGAAGATATGTCTGATTTGCTGAAACAATTGTGTTCATTTACATGAATAAATTTGCACATACACTGGGTGAAACTGGATTTCAGACTGAGGAGCTTTCACTTGGAACTATACCAACTTCCCCTGCACTAAATCTTGTAAATTAGAAAAGCAGTGTTCTGATAATATGTTTTATTAAGACTCCATATTCTCTTTCATAAAATTGCATGAATTTATAAAAATGTATTGCTGGGACAAGTGTAGAGCAGAGAGATGAGTTTCCTTTCCCTGCTACAGCCATAGGCCTTCCCTCGCTGCTCTCCTTGCTAGAATAGTGAGCAGGAGTAGGTAGTGACGGTACTTAGGTATCACGTTCCTGTGCAGGGACGCCTGGGTGGCTCAGTCGGTTGAGTCTGACCAGCTGAAGTCATGATCTCACAATTCATGAGTTTGAGCCCCGCATCAGACTCGCTGCTGTCAGCACAGAGCCTGCTTTGGATCTTCTGTCACCATCTGCCCCTGCCACCCCCTCCCCACTTGGGCTCTCTCTCTCAGAAATAAAAAAACCTTTAAAAAAATAAAATAAAATAAAGTTCCTCTGCAAATTGGTTACATATTTCTTAATATTTGTTAGGTTCTTCTTTCTTTCCTTTGGGAAAATCTCAGATATATTCATTCATTTGTTTGAGAGGCAGTTTATTTAAATAAAGATAGCTAGTACATACATAATACTTACTGTGTGCCAGGCACTGATCTAAGGCTTTATATATATTAACTTATTTAATTTTCACAAAGATCCTTTCCTATAAAGATTGCTATTATTGTTTAGTAAATGGCAGGGGCTGGAACTGGACTTTTGACAGCTAGCTTCAGGGTTAGTACTCATAACCACTCACTATACATACATGCTCTAGAGTCATACCCTCCAGGTTCAAATTCTAGCTTGGTTACATACAACTGTGTGAATGACTTCGATCAATTACTTGGCTCCTCTGAGTCTCAGTTTCCTCATCTCTTTGCTATGTTGCATATAACCTAAGTTGGTTCACTTCTTGACACGTAGTAAACTTTAGCTCTTATTAGCTCTTCCTTCATTTTTTTTTTAATATTTATTTATTTATTTCTAGGAGAGAGAGAGAGAGAGACAGCGTGAGCAGGGGAGGGTCAGAGAGAGAGGGAGTCACAGGCTGAAACAGGCTCCAGGCTCCGAGCTGGCAGTCAGCACAGAGCCCGAAAAGGGAACGAACCCACGAACCGCGAGATCATGACCTAAGAGAAAGTCAGACGCTTAACAGACTAAGCCACCCAGGCGCCCCAGCTCTTCCTTCATTAAAGGCATATACCTGGAGTGCCCACCATGTGCTTGCGCTTTCAAGGAGCAGTTGTGCTGGTTTGTCTCTTTTCTAAAATTATGTCAGTACTGTATTGTATGGTCCTGAAGTTCAGCATTGATAGAGGGTGTTCTGGATTTCCATCGTCTTTCCTCCTATTTGTAAGTGTGGAAAAGAGATAGAATTTGGTCAGAAAGACAAGAATATTCCTGTTGATTCATATTGCAGGTTACACAGTTAAGTCAGAGGAGCTAAGACAGGTTACTTCTTTTTAAAAATTTTTTAAAGGTTTATTTATTTTTGAGAGAGACAGAGACGAGCATGAGCAGGGAAGGGGCAGAGAGGGTGGGAGACACAGAATCTGAAGCAGACTCCAGGCTCTGAGCTGATCCTGATGTGGGGCTCAAACTCATGAACCATGAGATCATGACCTGAACCAAAGTCGGACGCTTAACCAGCTGAGCCACCCATGTGTCCCAAACAGGTTACTCCTTGATTAAAACATGACCATTCTTTATCTGGCAAGATTATTTGTTCTGTTTGTCCCAGCTTGGACCTTTAGGAGAAAGATATGCATGGAGCAGGAGGGGATACTTAATCAGCCAGCCACTTCCATTAAATCAGCCCCAGCCAGTAGGGAAATGATAAATGTGGCAGACAGGTTAACCTCACTTTACCACCTTAGTGTGGATTTTAAATGAATGTAAAACCTAAGTATGGAAACCTGTTTGTAGAGAGTAGATGGAAGGGAACCCAGTGTAGAGGAGGAGTATTTTGATAGAAAGTGAAAAAAAAGTTAGAGGAAAAAATATCCTGGTGAAGATAGTTGGGAATAAGCCCTTGTATTTTTCCTCTAATATGAGGATATTTTAACCAGAACTTTGGCATAGGCCCTGTTTGGTTATTCTAATAGTAGTGTTTTGAGATGTGTCTTTATTCCTCATATTTGTATTTTATACCAGAGATCTGACAGATCTTTGTTCTTTTCTTCCTTACAGTCCTGAGGCTTTCTACCAATGCAGGCCAATGGAAAGAAGCAGCTAGCAAGGTGACCCATGCATTGGTTAATATCAGGTAAGGAATGAGAGAGAATTTACCCCTCTCCCAGCTCCTTGGCTCATCTTGAGTTTTATTGTACCTTTCTGAGTGGAGTATGTTGAACACCACTGCTATTTTAAGCCCTGATGTCTGTAGGAGTGGAAGAAATGTCGTACTTGATCAAGAAAAGCAGGAATGCATGAGACTTTCATATTGTCATATTGCAATAGCTCACAATGCTGTACTATGAATTTTCTTACCAAGAGATGGTTGCAAGCCCTTTTCAGGCATCTTTGTTGCCAAAGTGTTTTCTGTTGTATAGGCCATTTTCTCTGAAAAATTTTTTCTGCCATTCTCCGTGAGTTCAGTGAATGACTCATGGGGATCTGGAACTTTGATGTTTTGCTTTACATGGCTCTTTCTATTTGTGGTAAACAGAGGCAAATAGAGCTCATGGGGCTAAGTTATTTTAGGTTCCTTATGAAACAGCAAGGCAATTACAGAGTGGTATATGTATTGGATAAAATTGATTCAGACGTGGAGTTTGGTGAAGGGTCTTGAGGAAATAACACATACTCATAGGAGTGAGCTGTTTGTAAATGGAGAGAGGGTGCTTTGAGTACCATAAAATCTCAAGCTGACTTTCTTTACATTCCTCGCTCCCTTTGTGCCTATCATTTTCCATTTTCTCAACAGTTATTAAATTGTTCTTGCAAACAATTGAAAAATTAACACTGAGTAGAAGAGGCAAACCCAACAGATGGGGAAACTTGATTTAGCTCCAGATGTAAGCCTTGCCAGACATTCCCAGCAATAGTAATGCACATCTACAACTTAGTATAAATTCTGATGTGTGACAGACCTGGGATTTAGTGTTTATTTCTGTCTCTCTCTCTCTCTCTCTCTCTCCCTTTTTAAAAGGTAAAATGTCCACTAGTGATTTACAGCGGTATTTGTTACGTCTGGGAACAAAAGGAAAAGTGTGAAATGTGTGTGTTGGGAGAGTTGGAATGAGGGGGCAGAGGGGTGAGATGTGCTAACAAGATTGCGCTGAAGGTTGATCTGCCTTACCTGACCCCAGAGACACTTTGCCGCAAACGCAGTTTTATAAATCTCACAAATGCATATCTGTACCTAGCAAATAAACCACATACTGTAGTGAGGCCTTATGATAAATGTGATTTTCTGTTAAGAATCAGGAATTAGAAACTGCCTTCTCCCAAATATCCCTTTGTGACCCAAGGGCAGTATGACAAATGTGGGTGTTTGAAAGAAGCTCCAGATTCTGGGCTTGAGTATGAAGTTCATATGAGTATAATTTATGTTGTGTTTATTTATTCATGTATTTACTTAGGCTTTCCAGGCAGCTCCTTTTCATCTGGGACCGGTTTCCTTGATCACATTCCTTTATGCTTGCTTTATCTTCTACTTTGTTGCTTTCCCTTTCAGTGGCTTCTGGCTTGGCTGCTGTCCTTATTCTTCCCAAGGGCCGTCAAACAGCTGATGGAAGCTTTTGGCCTGTGCTTCTTCTGAATAGCCCAGAAAGGATTGGGTTGAACTTTGAGCAGATGCCTATAACCATGACTTTTTCTTCTCTTTACAAGTGTCCGTTGGGCCTATACCTTGACTTTCATTCCTCACATTTCTTTGATGAACTTGCTGCAGAGATTAATGACATCATCTTCACTGTCACTAATGAATTAGACTTGGAGTATCTATCAGAGGTATCAAGGATCCAGTCAGTTTTCTTAAGAGATTACAGGAAAAATGCATTTGGATGTCACTTATCACTAAGGCCAGATCAGGGCAAAATACTTGTAATGCTAAGCCAGCTAAAGTTTACTTTTTTTCCTTTCTGATATTTATTTTCACTTACCAAGTGCTAAACTTTGTGCTCTTTCACATACCGTCTTCTTCTTTGTTATTCAAACTCTATAGAGTAGGTTATAAACTTTTAAAAATATACTTTTTCCCATGATGAAACTGAGTCTTAAGGATTTTGTGAATTGGAGAAAGTCTCACACTTGTTTGGCAAAGCTGAGAATCATAGGTCCTTTAACTCCCAAGTCCAGGGCTCAGGGCTTTTTCTTCTGGAGGTCTTTTTATTTTTAAGACATCTCCACACGCAACGGGGGGCTCAGTCTCCCAGTCCTGAGATCAAGAGCTGTACACTCCACCAACTGAGCCATCCAGGCCCTCCAGGACTCTTTCTTCTATACCGTAATGGCTCTTATAGAGTTGCCACAGAAGTAAACAGAAAACTCAATATGATGTATTGAAAGGAGCATGGAAATTTGAATTAGAGAAACTGGATTTAAAATTTTTGTCTCTACCACTTAATGTGTGACCTTGAGCAAGTTATTTAGCTTCTCTGGACTTCTTTCTACTATGTATAAAATGGAGCTTGTGTTTCACGGGGAAATAGTTGTGAGAATTATATAATGTATGTGAGAGCACTTTGCCAACTCTAAGGTACTGGCCATTTCACTTAGCATAATGTATTTAAGATTCTCCTCTGTTGTAGCAAGTGTTAAATTTCCTTCCTTTTTAAGGCTGACTAATATTCCAATTGCATGAATATGCCACGTTTGTTTATCCATTCATCCGTTGATGAAATTCCAGGTGGGTTGCCTCCATCTTTTAGTTATTTGTACATGGGTGTACAATTTCCCTAGTCCCTGCTTTTACTTCCTTTGGGCATATACCTAGGGGTGGAATTGGTGAATCGTGATAATTCTGTGTTTAATCTTTTGAGGAATTGCATACTGTTTTTAGGTTTAGCATTTTGAACCTTCCTTAGAATGTTTCCTAATTATGTCTTCATTTGTCTCTTCTATAAAAGTTAAGATGTTAACAACCTTAAAAAATGTTTTGCTTTTTTTTTGTAGGTAGACTTTTTTAAAATAAGATTTTCTTTTTTTTAAGTTCATTTTTTTGAGAGAGAGCATGTGCATGGGTGTCCATGTGCAGGCAGGGGAGGGACAGAGAGAAAGGGAGAAAGAATCCGTGCCATGGAGCTCCATCTCATGAAACCTGAGATCACAGCCTGAGCTGAAACCCCTGAGTTAGACGTTTAACTGACTGAGCCACTCAGGAGCCCCTTTGCAGGTAGACTTTGATGCTTTCTTTTTTTCTTTTGTCTTTTAATATTTTTATTTATTTCTAGGAGAGAGAGAGAGAGACAGCGTGAGCAGGAGAGGGTCAGAGAGAGAGGGAGATACAGACTCTGAAATAGGCTCCAGGCTCTGAGCTGGCAGTCAGCACAGAGCCCGACGCGGGGCTCGAACCCACAGACAGAGAGATCATGACCTAAGCAAAAGTCGGACGCTTAACCAACGAAGCCACCCAGACGCCCCAAGATGGAACTCATTTTTAATAAGGAGGCCAGATTTTATTGGCTTCTCAGCATTTTAAATTAAAATTTTATTGAGATATTACTTATGTGTAATAAAGTTTTACAAATATTAAGCACACAGATTGATTTAAGGTTTTCAGGTATGTCCATGTAACCCCTACCCATCAAAGTACANAGGGAGATACAGACTCTGAAATAGGCTCCAGGCTCTGAGCTGGCAGTCAGCACAGAGCCCGACGCGGGGCTCGAACCCACGAACCGCGAGATCATGACCTAAGCGAAAGTCGGACACTTAACCGACTAAGCCACCCAGGCGCCCCGACTTTGATGCTTTCAATGAGAGTGGTACCCAGAGTTTTATTTTCTCAGAGCTGGTATTTTCTTAGCTTAGGGCAAAAAAAAGTGGTATGCCTAAGAAGTCTGCATTCCACTCCAATGGTAATGAGTGCTGCCTTATGCTCCTTTGCTTTTTTCTAAGAGCTTGTGTTATAAATCCATGACACTGTTAACTTTGGGTGGTTTAGAAAACAAGAGACTATGTCAGAAAATTGGCCTCTTGGGTCTCCCAGTGAGACTGTGGGATGTTTAACTATTGGTCACCAAGTTTATTATCAAGGATATATAAAGGCTTAGCAAGAAAACTATGACAGTGTGCAACATTTACTTCTGTTATCATAAAGATTATTTGTGCTGATCCCATACCTGGAAGGGATTTCTAAGAAAGAGTGAATGAACTCTGAGCCACCTCTCCTGTAGTATGTTCTTTGATAATGATGGGGTTTGGGCTGCATGTGAAATTTTCAGACATCTAACAGTTGAAAGGGCCTCAAACTGGCTTGGCGGTTGATGACAGCTACAAGTTATGTCTTTGAGATCTTCTGGAAGACAATACATCTAACGACAACCCTAACATAGTGTCTTACCAGCAGGTAAAATGCAGGGCTGCAGACTTTTCTGTTCTTTGGAGTTTAGATTTTGACAGTGAAAATTCAAAGTGCTTCCACACGCTTGGAGGCCTAAATTTGCTCAAGTGTCAGTCTGTTTGCTTTTCACTTGTCTTTCGTGGCTTAGTCATGCTAGTTCTTTAATTGTCAAAGTTATTTGTGTTTAAACAATTTGTCTCTTCCTGTTTGATCCTTCAGAGAGATTCTTAAAATGCAGCTGCTTAGAAACTATTTTTGAAGTATCGTTGACATACAATGTTATATCAGTTTCAGGTATACAACATAGTGATTCAACAGTTCTGTTCATTGTGTACGGCTCACCATTTAATATCAGTGTAGTTACCGTCTGTTACCGTACAAAGCTATTACAATATTAAGTAATTGTATTCCCTATGCTGTACTTTTCATCTTTGTGACTTACTTATTTTATAACTGGACATTTGTACCTATTAATCTCCCTCACCTATACCATCAATCCCCCACCCCTACCCATCTAGCAACCACCAGTGTGTTGTCTGTATTTATTAGTCTATTTTTGTTTGTTTGCTTATTGGTTTTGTTGTTTAGATTTCATATGTAAGTGAAATCATATGGTCTTTGTCTTTGCCTGACTTATTTCACTTAGCATAATATCCTTTAGGTTCATCCGTGTTGTTGCCAATGACAAGATTTCATTCTTTTTTGTGGGTGAGTAATATTCCATTGTATGATAGTATATATGTATATATACCACAGAT